GGAAATGCTATCAAGTTAATGTGATTATTGAAAGTGCTGCAGGAAAACACACATTGACTGACCTCATAACGAGTTTACCTACAGACTTCCTCATTACCTGTGCATTACCAAAGAGATTTAGTGCCAAGAATACAATTAGCTTCACTGACTCCTAATTCTTTACACTGTAACACAGCAGAGATCTACACAATAAAACAGCCACTTGAACGTCAGGCAGGGAGATGGACGAATGATGAGTTTGCCCTCGATGGACTTACACAAAGCCTTTTACAAAGAGTCAGAAAGTTCAGGATCTACTTGTAAGTGAGCCACACAAATCAGCTTTATGGTTATTTGTGTCTATTGGCGTAATTGCTCTTTGCTTTCTCCAAAGCCATCTAGAAGCTTCTGCAATACCAGCTGTACTGGGATAGGACCAATGAAATGCATTGTGATTGAGTGATTATTGGCCTTGTTCAGCAATACTGGATTTATCTTACATTTATATCTGCTCAAAAAAGGACATTTCTCAAGAGAATGTGCTAATTTCTCTAAACAGGAACTCAGTCTCGAGGCTGAGTATCTGTTCTGCTTTGTCTTAGTGAATGTAAAATTGGCTCTAGATGTGCACTGCATCCCAAGAGACCTCCTGGGGAATTAACTTTGTCCTTCTAACCAAGCTCTCTGGTTTATTAACACATCTGAAACAGGACTGACTGAAATAGATAGCATTCTGTACCTCAACACAAACCATTACGTGCAACTCTCAGATACCACTCACACAAATTACGGTCACCCAAACTATCTCTGTATTAAAGAAGTAGACATCTCAGGCCACTTGCCTGCCTTGCTTTCCATCTTATTAATATCACCCATACATCAGTATTTGTTGAGTATTTTTGGCTATGCAACTCACTCTTGGCATGGCTGTCTTCTTGTGATTCCCAAAGTTTACAACAGCTCAGTCCCACCAGAGCAGGGAAGCAAGAACTGGCTGTAATTGCTGGCTGTGCGAGTACAGCATTCACTCCCATATTCCTGAGAAACTGGAAATACCAGCAATCACAGGGAGGCCTGCTTTGGGTTGGTTTTATTTGTTAATGAACCACATGGAGCAGGGCCCACATGTAGGTCACAGTTAAATGAGGGATCTGGGGGCTTCTGAGCAACCCCAAGGGACAGGATGAAGGCTGGAGCCAGGACAGGCTCCTGCTCAGCCCTTTTGGAGCTGGGACCTTCTGCCTTCCTTGTAGGGCTGAACCCTATGGGATAAGGGCCAAACAGAATAATAGTCTCCTTCTAAATAGGGAGAGGAACAGAAACCTGCATTGCTTCTTAAGTGTCTGAAGGAGTTTGAACCATCTGAATCCTAACTGAGGCTATTTGCTGAATCTTAACTCTACACACTTAGGAGACTCTACCAGAAAGACTGTATGTTTTGAAATGATTGTTTCTAATTAATCTGTCTAACTATTTTAAAAGCCTTGCAAACTAATGTGTTCTGCTACAGATTTTGATTAAAATATTTGTTAAGAATGCAGTCTTCCTTGAAAAGATAGTATATTCTTTAAAGAGGAAAAAATAGCATGCTCTGGACTGCCTAATGTATGTTATTTTGTATAATTTGATTCAAAAGTTAGAAGTCACTTTCTACATGCATGGTACATATTCTACGTTTCTTAGTATTTTAAAATTAAACTAAGAGCAAAGTTCCCCCTTAAAATTTATTAAATGAGAAATCATTATCATCATGTGCTTGTCTTTAAACATCCTAAGCCCTCATTGCAAACTTCAGCACTTACGCTATTAGAAAAAGCAGAACATCAAAGAAAGACCAGTTGTGCAGAGCGACACAAGCTGCGTTACTGAAAACAAGGACAAGCTGTGAAATCCTCTCCTGGAATAAAGTGCCCTCTGTTGAAACACAGGCATATGGATTTCTGTACCAACATACCCACGTACCCTGTGTAGTGCAGCCAGAAGAAACAAACACTTCAACAAGATGGACAATCTATTTGAGGGAAGCGACTCATGAGCTCCCTCCCAGGTTGCCCTTCGACATTAAGGCTTCAGCATCTAACAGCATCAGCCCTCTTGGATCCCTGCTTCCCTGCCCCACTGACCCAAATAGCAAATTCCCACCAGCTTCAAAAAGGGAGGACTTGGTCAGCAGCCATAAGTTACAACTACCGTGGCTTTTGTTTTTATGTTGTGCAAAGGCAGTTTTTTTAGATGGAGAGCTGGTAACAAAGGCCCCTATTATATTGTGAAATACCAGTCTCAGGCAGGAATTAAATGAATAACAAAATCACAAGCCCAATTTAAATAGTCAAAACAAAGGGTAAGCAAAACATATAAATGTCATGATCAATCCTCTTATTTCAAGCATATGCTTTGTAGAGCATGATAAAGACCGTTTCAACTTCTCTCCAAATCCTCTAGCAAACAAACATCCAAGCACAGCATCATTTCTTCATGCTGATTGGGAAAATTAAAGCAACTCTGCCAGCATGCTGGAAAAAGCAGCTCAAAGCAAGTGATAAAACTAAATGCACAGACACGGATAGCCTCAGCTGACCTCCTGCCCTGCAGACACCAACATCCGCCGTCACCTCCTGCTCTGCGTGAGCTGCAAGGCTAAGCAGACCCTTATTCTCCACCAGGAGGATTGCTGTAAGCACTTAAAATTCTTTATTTTAATAATAGACAACAGCATTATCAGCACGTTTCATAGGAAGGCAACCTTCCTAAATATGAAGACTCTAAAATGAGATTATATCATATCAATTATGTTAATTATACATAAAATACTACAATAAACAAAGCCATAGTTGTAGTCTCACTATGAAGATAACCCTCCATTTCACCTAAGAGTTAGGGTGGAAGGAGAGCATGTCTCCATATTCCCCCAAGAGGCCCTCTAGGTACTGGGACAGCAGGAAGAATACTGTCTGCACATGCAGACCAGGACTGATCCCCTCGTGGTGGAAGAAGCAAGGAGCCACAATACCACAACATTCAAACTGAGCTATTAGAAAGAAGCAGCACCCACAATATTGGTCAGCATGTAGAACTCATCTAAGGAGAGCACTGATTTCGAAACACCTCCAGCTGAGCTCTGAGCCCTGGGACATACACAGCTGGAACCAATTTTTGAAGAGAACTCCCAAGAAGAGAGGCACAGCTAAAAGAAACCTCACCATAAAGAGCAAAAGCAAAACAAAAAGCAAGGGATAAATACAGGAAAAATACCAGGCCAATGGAGAAAATGTTTCTCTAGGAGCGTCCAGTTGATCTTTAAAATGTAATCACAACTCAGCAGTTAATGCTTCCTTCCATATTTCATCATGAGACTCTCCCCTGTAAAGCTCTCAAGTACATACCAGTCACGTATTTGCAGGGACCACTTAAACAAATCAATTAGTTGTTAGTACCTGGTGTGCATCCAGCCTAATGAAATAGGCTTCTCATCCATTAACATACAGCAGAAACAATCCCTGCAGAGTAAGTGATGCAGTATCTTAAAAGCAGCGTTAACAACTGAGATCAGAGTTAAAGAGATCATTTTAGAGCTTTACATAATTTTACATATGAACATTAACAGCCTGCATTAGCAAGACAAGTTTAGTTAACTCCTGGGTGCTGATGAGCTTAGATTTACTTCATGGAATTAAAACCCAAAGACATAACTAGTTAGGAAGTTTACAAGCTTAAGGGACCGAACTAAGGATAAAATCAGTGCAAGATTCTTCTGCATCTCATTTTAATTTCCCATCTAAGTTGACAGGGAACAGCTGTCTGAGCAGCTACAAAAACAAGGGTGGGAGAGGTAGGAAACTTAAGCTATATCCTCCCATATCATAGTACACAGCAAATCCAAAACTAGGTTAAATAAAGCTCTTCAGGAACTAAGTCCTCTGGCTCAAAATCTAGAGCTGTAAGGTTGCTCTGTCAGTAGCACGTGTTGGGTGAGGCAGCACAGAATAGCAGTCCCAAGTATTTGTTCTGCAGAACAGCACAATGCCAGCAGCTAATTGATGCAAAGTGCAAGTATGCTCATCTTCTTGAAAGCTTAGATGCCAGAATTACTGCAAACAAGAAACATCAGCTACTCAAAATCCAGATGCTACAGCTTACCTCTCCTGATGGTGGGTGCTTTAACAAATTGGATTAAATTAACTGAGCAGGCTCATTTTCCCAAGCAGCGGTAGGATCAAGATCACACACTTAATACGGTCACCCACTGACCTACAGGAATATTGACCTAGGAAGAAAAGAGCTCTGATGCCCTCTGCATCCCTGCTTCCACCAGTGCTTATGGATGTGTCTAAATCTGGAGAGGAGGTTAAGTATAAGCTCACAGGATCACCATGTACTGGAAACAAACAACAGCATTCAGGCTAAATGATAACATACTGGCATGTTTGAACACAGCCTCTACCATACATTCTAATGGAGGCCATAAAACTAATTGGCCCTGTTGCAATTAGATCATGGCTTCTGAGATTTGTTCACAGAATGGCTGGGGGTGGAAGGGACTTCTGGGGGTCATTTGGCCCAATGCTGTAAGGAGCTGGTTGCCCAGGACCACATCCAGTTTCTAAATACCTCCAAAATGCAGTGCTCCACAGCCTCTCCTGGCAATCCATTCCACTGTGTTTTAATCTCAGTGATGAGCCATTCTGATGACCCAGAAGCCAGGTACCAAAATCTCTGCAGGACCAATGGCCACAAGGCACTTCCTATGCATCTCCAGAAAAAACATGAAGGGGATCTGGAGGCAAGATAGTCCCCAAGCACCACAGTGCCCAAGGATCTGCTTGAAAGCTCTATTTCACCAGTTAGGGAACACCAACACTAAGAGACATCTGAACAGCTGATCAGCAGCACCCATGTCTGACAGCCACAGTACCATTGTGAAAGCATTGGAGACGTTGTTTGTGTCCTTCCTCTTCTTACAGCAGAGTTTTATTCTTTGTCAGCTCTTGAAATTTAAGAAAGACAAGTACTTGACCATCGGGTATGTTTACTCAGTTTTATTAGACAATTCAAGAAGAAAAGCAGGATATATTTTAATACTTCAACTCAAGAACCCGGCAAACACAGAAAAGCAAGAATAGTGTTTACAAAAGTTACAAAAACTGCACTGCATAGTGACTTACAGAAAATGTGATTAATTGGCAAGACAGATTTATAAAAATGCAATAACAGCTTCTCAGTTGATTATGAAAATGGTATACCCATGTTATATGCATTCACAAAATCAGCATAGTGTTGAAATTAAGGCACTTTGGATATATAGTATTCTATAAAGGAAACAATTTTAGAGAAACCACAGTAAATCACTACTGGCAGATAGTGACAGCATGCCCAGTACTGGCCATCAGAGCACCAGGTTGGTGTGAATGTATGAAGCTCTCAGTAAAAACAAGCAAACAAAAACCCAAGTGCACTGAGAAGGTTTTTTGACCCTCTTAAACACTGAACTCATTCAAGCAAATTTGCTTCTGAAGAGGTCAAAGAAGAATTTCATTATTTAAACACCATTAAATATGATTTTAAATGTTAAACAATTTAAAACAAACATCCATGGTGAAAACTGCATGAGGTTCACATTAAGTATTAGTGCACGCAGCTGCTTCAGAAGTCTTCACTTTCTTCCTTCAGTATCTCCCTGCCACAGCAACAGCCAAAGGAAAACAGTGCAATGGAATAATTTTCTAAGGAGCAACACCTCCTCAACACTACACCAGAATTTCCAGCCCTCCTTTTCACTTTAGATTGTCGTATGTTTACTGCCTGCATCCCAATAGGATCCCAATCCTTATCTGTCCCACACGTGCTATTTACTAATAGATGGAAAACAGATCTACAATGACTATTATTTATATTAAAGAAAAACTGATGTGAGCTTTTTTTCTTTACTCCACCTGTCTCAAAAGCAAAACTTCAGTGGTAACTGGGTAGCTTTACAGACTTCTATTGCAGCCTTTAGTACACAAATTCTGAGGAGTGAAAACGTTCAAGAACCTAACGCTGCAAGCACAAAGTGCTGTAGCTGGAGTAAAATGGAATGTTCAAAGACTTCAGATATGTGCAGGATCAGGCACTTCAGTTGTATATCACTGATGTTTTACTTCATCAACTTGAATTAAAAATGTTATAGAAAAGGGGAAAAAAGTGAATTCTTAAAAAAAAAATCAAAGCAGGACCTCTGTAGAAACTATGTTTACTCTAAATAATTCAGAATAATTAATTAGAACAACAGTACTTTACAAATCAGCCATATCTGGCAAATTTCACTTGAAGTCAGACAACCTGCTCACACCCAGCATCTTAACAAGCATATTCCTGCTATGTCTGCAACGAAGCACCAGCATCTGGCAGAAAACCTGTGCTGTAACATTAACTCTTCTTTGGCAGGATTGACATTGCAGACACTTCAGTATCAGCTGCAACTACTCAGCATTCCTCAAGACTGAAGTGTTCACCTTACACACATCTGAAGTTTAAGTTTAAAGTATGTAATTAACAGTTTTCTATCTAATCAAATACTAGAATTATTTGCCAAGATAGTCTACATTTGAATGATACTACATTACTTGGACCACAGAATGACTTTTGTATCCTTTTAGCAGGGCCCTGAGCATGAAAAAAAGGCAGAGTTATGAGTGCTCACATAGCATTCATTAATTTTTTTTTAACCTTTGCTCTGCACAGCACCCCATAGGACACCATTCTGCAGTACACTGGTAATGAGAGTTGGGACAACAGTGTAAGTACTCTCATACAACCTAGTGGGCAAAAGGTATTGTCTCGGGGAAGCTGCCACATCTTGCAGAGTTGGTTCTGTCACCTCCCTACAGAAGTCCCTCACAGCCATGCTGGGTCACAGCAGTCAGCCACGAACTAGCACAGATTATAAAATATGCATTTGCCCCCTGCTAATCCAAAAAACTCTCAATAATAAAACATACCCTACTACAGGAAATTGGTTTCTTACTTCACAGAACGGGAATCTCTATGTCAATTTCCCTAGATAAGAATAAAACTAACACGTCTCTTCCTTTGCCCCTCTGCGGACTACTGAAGTGTCCTCTAGAGTTAGGGTTGTGCCAGAAAGCATTTTTATAAAATTACATGCCTCCATAAATCAAAGGCTTCAGCAAGTCAAAGTAGTAATAAAGTTAACTTTTATAAATGAGATTATGAGAATGTTTACTAGGATAATGCCATCATAAAAATATAGTGTTTTAACATAACAATCTTACAGCCAAGAAATAGCAGTTTGAATAAGTAAGGTTACCAAAGCAATGAGAACAGAGGAGATAAGTCCTGCCCAGCAGAACACTCACTTCCTTGCAATTCAGGCACTTCACACACAGGAATACAGAGCCATATGCTGTATTGTGACTGTAAGTGTCCTGAGAGTAGTTTCTTCCTCTGTGAGCCTTCATGAGAGAATTAATGCTCAGAGTTGACATTACAATACTAGACTAGTCCCAAAATACATCCACAGTCATTAAGTTGAAGAGTGACAAAACTTAGAGAAAAGAAAGAACGTAGATTCTAAGTGAACACCATCAATTTTTAACCAGGGTTTTCTTCCTCTTTCATTAGGTAGTAAGAGTTGGCATATGCTATGTTTGTTTTTGTTATCAAAGAAAACAATTAGAATTACAATTACTCATGTGGAAAGCAAGTACTCATTCATCCTTAATCAGAGCAGAAAGACAATCAAGGTAAGCAACAGTAAGCAGGATAATCTTTATATTGACCTATTTTAATTATATGGTTTTTGGAAAAAAAGTAGACATGCTGATCGACATCTCATGTATCAGTGAAACTCTGACTAGAGCAGAAGTTAATGCACATATATTGAAAAACGAGTAAAAACAGTTTATGTTTTTGCAAACTTATTTGTGGACAGATTTGCAATGGAGATCCCAACTTTTACTGAGTACATTAAGAGAGCTGTCACAAAGATCTTTCCTCTTTGGCTGACACGTTTTATAAAAGCATGTTAGGATGTGATAATGTCAAACTGCATGCATATGCACACACATTTGTAATAATGTATACACACAGACACACACATACAGCATACATATGGTGACATACGCTGAAGACATTACCAGCATCAGAGCGAGGTCCTACCACTGCTCCCAGCTAAAGTCATCTCCTCTACCAAACACAAGAAAAAAGCCTAAAATAGTAAGGAAAATGACTGCATTGCCAGCCAGCACCAGACCACAGGCTCCCCATTTGATCTGAAATGCAAGGAAATGAAACAAAGCAGTTCTTTAGCATTCATCCAGGCCAGTTATTTATATGCATTAGATAAACTAAATGAAATACTACAGAAAGCAAGAAGAAAAAGGACAAACAATAAATACTGCAATTTATAGTACTAATCACTCAATTAGCAACTACTCCTACAATGCAAGACTTAAACAGACAGGCTAATAATTCTACATTTTAGAGCAAAATGATTACCTTGCCATACAAGTCGCTACAACGGACCTAAATCACAAAAGCCCACTGAGATTAATGCTTTATTTTAAATACTATGTATAATAATAAAAGATTATTTTTAAATAAATGCCAGTAATAAGCACAGAAAACAGTACCTGGCCTTAAAGGTAAACAGATAGCTTTCTTAGCTATCTATCTGCCCACCTAAGTCGACCCTAATAAACATTTACTCTTAAGACACAGCCATGAATTCGAGTTCCCTCTTGTGGTCACTTCTGGTTCTGCCTATTATCAGGTCCACAATAGACTCGATGTTGGGTTAATTGTGCATCACAAATTAAATTAAAACCAAGCAGATGAAGCTTAAGCAAAACAATTAGGCCAAAGGGGGAAAAACAAACTAGAATAACAATAAAAAAAAAACATCTCATTGGGCAGTTTGGGAGACAGGACAAAGGAGTTCTTTGCCTCGGAAATGAACATGGCAAAAGTCTCACCACTGAATAGCAGTTCAGAAAGCAAAGAGAAAAGCAGCTAGCAGAAATTTCCTCAGGTTTGAGAGGACAAAGCACGAGCTTGGGAAATGCTTTGAAAACCAGGAGGACAGTTCTGGAAGTTTGGCCTTTTTTGCTGTTAACTGATAATACACTCCAGTCACCAAGTTTCCAGCATCCTAAATGGAGAAAGCAGACATTCTGAGATAAAAAAAAAAGATGGTGCAAGAAGCACTGCATGAGCTGATGACAGAGAAAGGTGTGAGGAGGAGGGGGAGAGAATGTATCTTGCACTGGACCACAGCAAAACTAGAAGCAAACTTTTCAGTCATGCAAGTCATTTGTTTAGATCAAAAAGCATAAGCAAGTTTCCAGCAGTGATTGTTTTCATCAGAATCCACAAACATCACAAGGAAAGTAAAGGAAGGATTTACAAACAAAAGCAGCTCACCTGGCTCAGAAAGAAACAACAGCACACTTAAAGCCTACACTCATTAAGTGCCTCCTGATGAGAACTCACCGCTTCGACCCGCGCAAGGATGATGGGGAAGCCAAAAGCAGAAACAACAATTCCAGTTGTGAAGAAGTACGCCAGTTCCCTGCAGGCACTGCTGGCTGCATCAGTGTCGTCACTTACTCTTCTGGCAATGAAGTGGGGAATGGGGCAGATGAAGTAAAATATTAAGACAAACATAGGCCAGTAAACACTGATGGGGACAAAAAAACAAAAAAAAAAAGAAATATATCAGTTTAGATGAACGTCCTCGTTAGGAGAAGTAATGACAGTAGTCCTACTCTGTGGTTTGAGAAGCAGATAAGTGATTTAAGCCCAAGCTTTCAACAGAAGGGTGCTCCCATGGCCTCACAGAGCAGGGTCCTCTCTCACACACAACCAGATGATGTATTTCACATTTAGCATCATCTCACTGATTCAGCTCACACTATCACTCACAAAACCAACAGTCATCAGGAAGAGGAGACATAAAGGGCAGGATTGGAACCAAAAGTTTTTTTTTCCAAACGAGAGGAATCCCAGCCTGGAAACAAGGCAGCTCTGAAGGCACACCCTGACACACACATCTGTGCCAGCACTCCCTGCAGCTTCACCTGCACTGAACCACAGAATTGTCTGAGTCGGAAGGGACCCTGAAAGGACACCTGGTCCAACCCCCTCATGATGAACAGGGTCACCTACAGCTGGAGCCGGCTGCTCAGAGCTTCTGAGAAGCAACAAAATCGCAGTGCTGTGCCAGTGGCAAGTTCAAAGTAAAAAGAATTGCATGAGATTAAGAAGGACTGCTTAGCAAGCAGGCATTTGTCACCTTGAGGAAGCGTGGCACCAATTTCAGTCATTTTTATGGCACACAGTGCTAGCTGAAAAGGGGTTATTTAACCACAACAAAGCTGGGAGGCAGGCACCGAGCGGAGCCCAGCGCCCGCAGCAGCAGGAGGGAGGCTCGGCACACGCAGCCCGCTCACCCGTAGTACTCCAGGGCGCAGCCCAGCATGAGGAAGGTCAGGCCGATGGCTCCGCTGAAGGACAGCCCCACGAGAGCTGCAAAGCACAAGGCAGGCGGTGAGGCGCTTACCGGCCGCCGCTCCCGCCCGGCCCCGCTGAGGGAAAGGGAAACGCGAGCAGGCCGCCGTGCCCGCCGGCAGGCAGGGAGCGGCTCAAGGCTGCCGGTAGCGGCTCGGCGGGACCCTCAGCAGCCCGGAGCCGCCGGGCGGCGCTCGGCAGCGCTCGGTACCTTTGATACCCGCCATGTTTCCGGCGGGCCGGGCGGCAGCGGCTCCGCTTCTCAGCGCCCCGAACGACGCCTGGCTGAGGTGGCGGCGCGAGACTTCCGGCCTTTAGCCCCACCCCCTGCCGGAGCACGTGATCGGGTGCCTTAAAGGGGCCGCACCGCTACGGAGGGGACTCCCTGACTCCCCCCGCCCTCACCTCGGGAAGGGGCGGTGCGCCCTTTAAGGCGGGAGGCGGGAAGCAGCCGAGCCGCGAGCTCCCGTCGCCATGGTTACGGGGCGGTGCGCGCTGCTCCCGCCGGGCGGCTGTGTGGCGCTGGTGTAAGAGCGCCATGTGTGCCTCTAAGATGCAGCTCCAAGGGGCAGCCCCAGTCAGTCACCACCGCTTTGGAGGCTGCTCCTGAGAAGCCCTGTTTTTAACCCCCAAACCGGGCCCAGCTGGCTGCCCCTCCTCTGGAGCAGCCGTCGCTCCCCCTCCTTTCTGCCCCTTCAGGGCTTTGGGTCTCCACCACATGATGGCAAAGCATTGACCCAAGAGCCACAGCTTTGATTTTTGCAAAGCCTTTGGGACCCACACCCCAACAGGCCTTTCCTCCGTGCAGCTCCTGCCTCAGCTGTGCGCCTTTCACCACACGGCTGGGCTGAAGGCAAAAATACACCTAGAAAATGCGAGCACCAACTTACATCTGCTGCCAACGAATGCCACTTTTGGGCCTACAATAAATAATCCGGTTAAAAAAAAAAACAAAAACCAAAATGCAGAAAGAGAAGAGTAATTTTATGTGTTTCGCTTGGGTTAAGGGTATTTACCTTAAGCCATAAAGGCTGCATCTTTTCCCATTAGAGCTTTTCTCGGAGTTAAACCCCAAACTGTTCTTCCCATCTCCTGCAGGAAGAGGAGTTGGGTTCTCCATTTAGCTTGTTTGCTGCTGAGGAAAATCAAGGCTCTAGAAAAAAAGAAATGTGTCTCAAGCAAGTGGTTCCAGGTCACCTGTATGGCTGTACCCACTCCCACCCAGCCCTGAGCCAAGGAACAGAGCGGTGTGGGTCACACACAGCAGGCAATGCAGGAGAAAAGGAGTCTCTACCCAATGCTAAGGGAAGCGTTGTTGTTTATCCAGCATTTACGGAGAAACCACCCTGACCTGTGCTGAAAGCAAGAAGGCAGAGTTCCCCCACCCCTCACAAGCACAAAACGTACGTGAGTGTTCATTTCAGCTTTTTAATGTATATACAAATGTTTTAGACCGGTCACAATTTCATTGAGTATATACTGTATTTACAAAAATTACAATAATTTAGTCAAACAGTAAACCTGAACATTGATAACCTCTGTCACTACCAGATATGACAAGAATTTTTTTTTTTTTTTTTTTAGTTAACTATTTTTGATATACATACGTCCTAATACTTTCATGCACCCATAAAAACATTAGGGATGAAGTAATCAAAGTTGAAGTGGGATAGGGTTTCTTTGGGTAGATAAAGTTTAATGATGGATTTGCATTTTGTGAACGTATGAGTATCCAGAGTTGTTTGCCATGACAAATCTGATACAAAGCTAACATGGTTTTCATTATTTAAAAAAAAAAAAAAAAGTACATTAGAGTAATGAGATCCTTTTTATTATATAGGCATAGGTCACAATATCTACAAATGTGAATGAGAAACAATAAACCAACAAATCACAGGAACATGATTCACATTCCAGTTATCTCTTTAAATAAGACAAGCACATACTGGATCAAAACATTAATAAATAACATCCAGTTTGTTACTATTATCTTAAGGTCTTTTATATAAAAGGAGACCTATGTGTTGGTTTCACATTTTCAAGTAATGGTAGTAAATAATGGACCAATACAACAAAAGGATGGCTTTTATACAGAAAGCAATGTTCTTTGACACTCTGTCTTTGCAGTAAAAGTTTTGCCACTTGAAAATTTAAGTGCAACAACAAGTGGATTGTCTTTAAAAACCACCAGCTTTAAAGACTCGCATCAGATGGCAACCTGTTCCTCAAGCAGCAAATACAAATGATTTGCTGCTTATCCTCTCAATACATCTGCCTTCCAAAGCTCAAATACAATTGTTGGTAAACAAACTGCTAGCTTCAGTGATTCTACAAAAGGAGAAAGTTAGATTTGGGGTGAAGAGCATACTTGTTTTGAATTAGGAAAGATGCTTCAGCATCAAAGATATTTCATTACGATATTATTGCTTTGGTCCATAATAAACTTCTAAGATAATTAATCTGCGTAATTTACCTCAAAAATCAGACCTGGCCCACAGATGTCTGCATGACAGCTTGTACACCATGGTCTGAAAAGTGAAGTTGCAATGGGTTGCATTTTGCCAGGAGCCTTTGCCAAGTGCTCTGGAGCTGATAAAGGCATAGAGGTGATGCAAGGTGGGCTGGAAAAAGTCTTCTGAATCCTCAGGAGAGCTGTTACCTATAGGCTAGGAAGTCTCTAAAAATTTGCAGTAGAGTTTTAGCTTACTGGTATTGTCTGTTGTTTGATGGATTCAAACTACTGATGAGAACTTCATGGGAAATGTAGCACATGCTCATTCTTCCCTTGTACTAAGGTAGAACCACTCTCCTCCCCCAGCTCACTATTCCCCCAGAACTGCTGTTTAACAAGCCATCAAGGTGCTGTTTAACATCAATTACTTGCTGTTTGCTTTAAAGACACTTACTCCATGATGCTGAGGATTTTTTTTCCACACATTTCACTGCTGGACTGTGAGGTGAAGTACAGTATTAATGCATGAAGCAGCAGTAAGCTGCCACACTGATCTACCCAGGCTTCAGCTTTATCTCTACTCAGGCATACTATGCTTTATGAGCAACTAAGCAGCAAATGGTGACTGTTAGAAGTGTGCCTAAGCCACAGTTGAGCACTTAAATTTGATGAAGTTTGATCCAAACCTAGGAAGAAAATACATCAAAGTCTGGGCTTCACCACCAGTTACAGAACTCAAGTGAAGTGTTGCCATATCACATTTCACACACACAAAAAAAAGTAGGAAATTCACCGGCTACACTGCGTCAGAGACAGAACAATCCCACCTTTTCCCAGAATGTCTTCTCTCTCACCACTGGAATCCAAAGGGGAAAAAAAAAGGTACAAGGAACTGTAGCCATGTGGCTCTCAGATGACAAGCCAGATGGCTAGAGTTCCTTTTGAGCTCAGGATTCTTGAAACAAGCATAGGGAAACCTTTCTCTTGTTCTTCATGATAAGTATTAGGCTCTTTGTTTTCTGAAACTTCTGAATTTCCAGCCAGAGTTTGGTTGATCTGTGACATTTGTGACAAGAGACTATACAAGCACTAGCACAGGTCTGTAGTGGAGACTGAGAAAGTACCTAATACAAGGGTTTCTGTCCTTGGTTTTCAAATTCTGACCAGGCATCATTTAGCTCCATAAATATCATCTTTGCATATTGTTCGTATGGCTGCCCAGTAGCCTGGAACAAAAACAGAAACAGGGGTATCACATCTATCAAGGAGACTACCAGCAGAAGACCTCTGTGCAGCTAGATACTCAAACACATATTGCTCACTTTCCACAAATGATTTTCACTTATTCTTTGATAAGAAAAAAATACTGTTGAGGGTTGCTGACCTTGTAAACAGCTTAACAGTTTTCTGGCTCTTCAGCCTTTCTGCTCCCTAGAGCTGACAGTGACAGAGCAAAGAGATGCAGTCCCAAGAGGACTAAAAGCTTTAACCAAGGCTGGAATGCTTCTACACATTTGTTTGTACCAATACATTGAGCAATCACATTTAACACTTCATAATTAACCTTATTTTTTGAGAACAGTGACAATTTCTGATCGGTGTGAACTAGGAAGCCCTTACCTTGTCAGGATGAACGACAAGCACTGCCCGTCGGTAGACCTTCTTCACTTGTTCTGGAGTTACAAGATCTGCCATGCTAACAGGTTTCCACTTGGTCTCCCCTGCCCATAGGACAGTATGCATTGTGGACAGCAGGGCTCTTATATTTCTCTCCTTTCCTTCAATCCACTCCAGGATCTGAGGAGAAAAGCGTGAACCTCCATTTATGCCTTACATTAGATATTCCAGGAGGAAAAGGTTTCTGTATTTGAATAGCAATGACTCCAAGGAACATCTCATATTTCTTTCTATGCTTCAGAAAGCCTTTGGGAGATATTCTTAAAAGATATTTGTCAGTCTGTACTTTGTCTTTAATTTTTATATCACCACTTGAAAGCCAAGACAGACAGAGCCGAAAATACTGCCAAAAATACTGAGTTGGGCCACTGCTAAGAACACTTTGAACAGCCATTACATGGAATAGTCAAAAGATAAATGAAATGATTAACTGTGTGGCTCTTCAGCAGGCTTAATTGCATACCTAAAAATAATCCTGACTGAAACTGCTGTGGAGGCATATCTTTAGAAGCCTTAGCTCTAGACATGCACAAAAGACTCATGCAGAAGCTTAGCTTCAATATAAATCCTTTTAACCTTTAAATCAGAAGCCTCAGTTCTCTCCATGAGCCTTTTTTCTATTTGTAAGTTAGCAGCCAAACAAAGCAGTAGGCACCCTACTTCCCTAGATGATATCCCCCTTAGTGGTAGTCATCTTAGCCCACAGCTGCAGTTATAATTTGTGGCTTAATATTCCTCACGTAGAGCGGGACAGAATGCATTTTCTTCCCTTTATGATGTATCTGTAGTTCAGCAATTTATTCAGGAGAGATGTGAGAATCCCAAAGTAGGTAAGATTAATGAGACAGAGGTTTAGTTCAATTAGCTGTGCCTGCTCACCAGAGCTGGAGTAACATGGTGTCCCAGCAGCCAAAACAGTAACACTAAGCAAGCCACTGTTGTTTTCTAGTTTAGGACAGAAATGTCTCCTTGGAGTTTTAATTGCATTCCAAAGGACGTTCACATCTTCAGGAAACGTGTGAAAATGCATTACATGAACAAACAGCAGGAAGCTCCCACTTTCTGCCCCAAGACAATCTCACCTTGGGGGCTAAGTCCCTCATTTGGTCAAAGCCTGGCTTTGGTTGAAGGACAGGAAGAGATGTTTGCTGCTCTCTTATTTGGCTTCTTTGTATGAAGCTACTTTGGAACACAGGGTGTTATGTTGTAGTTTTTTAATATATTTTTAGAAAACAAACTGTTCTTTTCCCAAGTGGTATCCCACATTTTGATGACCTAGTGGAATTTTTTCCAGGTGTTCTTCAACACCTGCAGTCTCTGACTTTGTTTTTCAGGTCACACTAACTCATTCCTAACTGGGATGCAAATGGGGAGCACAGCAGTGCATGATGCCATCAAGTTTAGACACTTACTTTATGGAAAACAAGCATGAGAGATACCATGTAGTGCAGGGGATCCAGCAGTGCTGTGGAGAATGTGTACTAGAACAGGAGCACAGCTTTCTGGCACTAGATGGCCTTTCCATTTGCTCAGATGCCTCTCACACACAGGAAGGCCAGTGACTTACTGACCACCTCTGCCTTTCAGGGAGTGTTCAAGAGCATCCAGCATGATGAGAATGAAAGATATGCTGAATGACACTAAGAGCACAAACAAGATTGTTGCTTACTTTCAGTTTTTCAGGGTCCATCTCCTTAGCCATTTCTTCTTTTCTCATCTCAGCTATTGTTTTGGGTCCCTTCTTGTCCTTATGAGCATTAAAACCTTGACCAGATAATAGATCTTCGAAATCTGCAGACACTTTTGGTTTTGAATCTTAAAAAACAAGAATAAGTTGTTTTCACAATACAAACTTATTTAACACTGCTTTCCTACCCAAGCAACTCCCCTCATCACTTATAACAATCTCCCACTGATTATGAGTATGCAGCTCTCACAGAAGAGGTATAAGTTAATGCTACATTTGAATTATTATTATCAAATCCCATTTGTAATCCAGGATTTCCTAGATATTAGCATGCTTCAGAGTCTAGAACAGGAAACCAGTGTTGAACTTTGAACACCATCAGCATGACTTGCTCACCAGACTCCAACCTGCTTCGGCGCATTAAAGCAATATCACAAAGAGCCAACCTTTAAGACGCTGAATTCTGAAATGCTTACCAGCATTAGCTGGTCCTTTTCCACGTTCGTTTTGCGCTCCTGGCATTGCTGAGAAACTCACGTTGTAGTTGGGCTTGTTCTGGGGTGAGGCATGGGGCATGCTTGGCTGCGCCTTGGGCTGTGCCTGCTGCCAGCCATAGCCAGCTCCCTGCTGCCAGCTGCTGCCCATGGGCTGTGGAGAGGGCTTCTGTGGTGAGGGGGGGAATCCTCCACCCATACCCGTCGGCGTGGTTGGTTTACTGGCAAATGATGGGCCACCTGCACAGCGAGGGGAAAGGAGTGATGGTGTGCGTTAGCAAACAGAGCAATGACTCACCTTCTGGCCGGGGAATCTCAACAAAAACTTCCAAGGAGCCGGCTTCTACTTTCAGCTTTGCCACAAACTTACTTTTGCAACATCAAGCAAAGCCCCTCAACTTTCCTGTCTCTGCTCTGCAAGCTGCATAAAAGCAAGCACCTGCCTCTGGAGTAGCAGTTTGTTGGGATAAAACAGGAAAAGCAACGTGCAGCTGGCTGGGAACCACAGCTATGTGCTATAACCTGCTCCAGGGAACCTGCTTTAGGTGGGGCTGGATTGGAAAATATCCAGAGGACACTTCTAACTTCTGCCACTCTGTTAATCAGAGCTTCTGTGTTATAGTGGCACTATCAAGTCGGCACATGTTGAAATAATTCTTCATTATGCTGTGCTGAAGTGGTATTATCCCACAGAGTCACGTGTTTCAGCACCTTCTTACTCCAGAGGATGGTCCTCAGATGTAGTTTGTGGTGGGTGGTATTCAGCATTAGTGTTTTATTACTTGAGATTAATAACCACACTCAACTACGAGCTCTGAAACATATCATGGAAAGTGGGTCAAGTGCTATTGATTTAGTTATGAACAACAACAGTGTGGTTAAATATCCTGTGGATGCCAAATCGTTTGTTTTTGAACTCCATAGCTGTGCTGCAGAATCCATGCTTTAAAAGCACATTGATGGCTCTGACATGAGTCTTGGCATTCCTTTTATTTTGCTCCTGCAGAGCAGCCAGTGATCCAGCAGAGGGAACTGGGAAACCTAACTCCAGAACCATGCTGGTACTGACGCAAAGGAGAAAACAAACATCAGATAAAACCACAACAGCTTGCAAAGAGCTGAGGGCAGTGACAAAGGAAAGAAAAATCTATTTACCAGTCAGAGAAGCTGACATGCTGGCTTTTAAGGAAAACTTAAGCCATTTGTCAGGACTGCTTTGGGGCTGAGGGTTTGCTGACAGTTTTGAGATAGAACAAGGAGAAAATGCATGTCTGAGAGCCAAGCAAACAGTCCTTCATAGCCAGGTGCAAATGAAAATGGGTTCAGATCCCACCTTCCAACACTACAGCAAATTGGAGGCAGATTAGTGAGGAACCACAGGTTTCCTCACAAAGGAGGAAAGTGGGCCAAATCTAGAAGGATGAAACAATTCCTTAAGGACCCCCTCAGCTATCAAGAGCCAGAGCCTGTTCCCAGGCACAGCTCCAAGGTCTGCAGCAACCGTTCTGCAGTTGGACTTAAACACAGCAGCATCTTTAGCCAGAAACAGTTGATGCGGATGAGGCAGAGGTTTCACTTTGCAATCCACACAGCCTACAAGGTCCAAACTGTTGCTGGCATTCACAGATGTTGTTTTTTTGTTTTGTTTTGTTTTTTATGGAAGATCAGTAAAAGCACAGGTCTGTGAAAATTTACAGAGAATCGAGCAGGAGGGAATGCTTGAAAGTGGCACTGGCATGCAGCTAGGCTGAAAGAGCCCATAGAGCTCTGTCACATATCAGGTTGTTCATCCTCTCTCTCTAAACCAGGGGCAGCTGGTTACTTCTTTTTTTTTGTAGGGGATGCAAACCTGCTAAACTTGCTCCAAGAGTCCCCAGGTCAGCAAATGGATCCAGTGTTTGGGGTTTAGGCTGATGAGTGGGAGTGCTATGGAGGGATCCTGTAGGACTGGTGGCAGCAGACTTACTTCCCATACCTAGGCCACCTTAAAGATAAGAAGGGGGAAAAAAAAGAAAAAATAGCTACATTTTTATTCTTATTTTAGTTGAGTGCAGCTGTTACCCAAGCTTTAGTTACATAATGTTACAAGACTGATGTTAAAATTAAGTGTATTATTGTCAGGCTCCTAAGCAGTCTCAATTCAGCGTTGGCCCAGACTACTTGTACTCCCACTCACAATTAGGCTCAGCAACAAGAACGTTCCCCAGACTGTCTGCAGTGACAGAGTAATTATGATAAATGGATATATTTTAAGAACTGGAAGCCTTCGGGAAGCAAGTTTTGGTAGGACACACATACCCTCCCAAGAGTAGAAGGAATCATACTATAATTTAGCAGCATCGTAGGAACATACAGCATTTCTCAGGTCCTTCTCTTGGCTCCTCAATGGAATGAAGCACAAGCACATAGACCCACCCCTAGCACCTGTCCTACCTCAGACCCCGATCTTTTGAGGAAGGAAACAGATCTCAGGGCTCACTGAGGCTTTTTCATTAAGTGTTCTGAGCTTTTACAATACATACCTGGTTTGTTGGGCCAGTCCCAGCCACCTGAAACATCTGGCTGTATGGAAACTGTTGGTGTGCTAGAAGCTAAGCAGAATGGCTATGTATAAATATTTCAGAGTAATACAGCAAAAACAACATAATCAGAGAATCATTCAGGTTGGAAAAGCCCTCCAAACTCCCCAGTCCCAACCCCAGCCCACCTCCTCCATGCCCACTGCCCACATCCCTCAGTGCCACATCTCCACAGCTCTGGAACAACCCCAGGGATGGTGACCCTCCCACCCCTGGGCAGCCTGTGATCTCTAGAGAAGCCATTTCTCCTAATAGCCAACCCAAACCTCCCCGCTAATCCAGCATCCAGAAAGGATAGGGGGCAAGGAGCAGGACTGATAGCACAGGGCTGTGTCCATCTATCATTTTCTAATTACAAGTGAATTTCTGCCCCACAAAGGGCATTACGACTTTTTCCTTTTATTTCTGATCTCATACTGTACAGATGTTAATAGGGAAGGACATAGATTTACAGTCTTTGTTTTATGGCAGCTTTGGTCAGAGGCTTTATATATGTATTTATAAAACCTTATCACCAGAATAACGTGGGGTTTTGTGTTTCTGAATGCATCTCAACCCAAGGAAATGTTCTATATGCAAAGGGCAAGGGTGGAAAACACAGACACAGCAAAACAGCCTCCACATATAGAGGCAATAAAGAAGTCTTTGCATTAGCCCGTATCAAACAAAGCCTGTACATCTATCCAGTTCACCCTGCCAGCTTTTCATTATACACAGCATTAGCAGTGTCACTTAATACCTCATCATGCTGGGGTATCATTTAAATTCTTTTCATTACTGCAGCCAGCTCCAAGTGTGACCCAAAGGTCTTATTCACAGAGGCAATACCCAGTGCCTGAGTCTGGCAAAGCAAGGATGTAAGCAGTGCCAGCAGCAGACTAGTTCCCTCCTATGTCACCCTGACTTTCCAGGGAGACCGTGCCACCCAAGGGATGCATGTTGGACAGTGAGAAACAAAGGAATTAGTATCTGAATGTGTTTTATAGAAGGTTATGATATTGCATTTTGGCACAGGGAGAGAAAGGGACAAGTAAGGGACATTTTTTTTAAACAAAGGGAGAGACTAAGAGAGTCAGATTTAACTGAATGTGGCCAGGATTCATATCAGATCTAAAGAAATCAGATACCTCTAACCAAAATCACCTAAGGATGGGCGTTTTCTTTAGCAGGCATAATATGCTGTGTTCTATTTAGCCCAATTAATGGCAGTTTGTTCAAAGTAGACCTCATAACCACAGGAATATGCAGGCAGACATTATTCATGGTCTCTTTCCTCATGTATACAAATAACTTATTAATTAAGTATACGATTTGAGCAAAACAAGTCTCATCGTACCACACTTCAACTGATGAACATACTTTAAGTCTAGAGACAAAAAGCTTTCCTGTTCAGTGGGGTTTGTGTGGTTTAGAGTCATTTCATGGTAAGCGCCAGTTTGCACTTAACAGCTCCGTCAGATGTAAAAGCAGCATTTTGTTTTTGCTCAAATTCACTGGAAGAGCCTCACTTTCTTACCCATGTGGAAGGGATCGCTGTGCACAGTTGGTGAAGGACTTCTTGTTGCCTGAAGGAAAGGATCACCGGGGACATTTGTTGAACTGAGAAAGGAACCCAGGAGGTCTGGACCAGCTTGCTTAGGACTGCTTCCAAATGGATCAAAGGCAGATGCTGGAAGACATTTTTGAGAACTCTAAATCACCAACTTGTACACTGACTGTGCCACAAGGCCATCCTGCGGTAGGTGCCACCAATCTCAGCCACGGCACTGCTCAAGCCAGTGCCCTCCTTAACAAAATGGAAAACAAACCCAACATTTCTTCACAAGGACAAACACTTTGTACATTGCAAACACTTTAAATAATTAGTTGCTAAGAAAAAGTTAAGTGAGCATACTGTGTTCTTTGAATCACGTACATGTTGACATGTCAGCTCTTAAACTGTAACTTAAAGGATTAGGCCAAACCAAAATGAGGGAGACCACACAGACATTAGATCGAGCTCAGTGTTCTTACTTTGCCTTTGGCAAAACCAGTCACCTATTTCAGAGACCCTCACCTGTTCAATTACACATGGTATCTACTTGCCCTTCTCCATTTACTTAGTCCTCCAAAAGATCTCTCTCCCTAATAATCTATTCAACCATTCCTTCTACCAACCTGATTTCAATCTTTGGAGCAATGAAAAATAGTAATAATTTAAAAAATCTTCTTACAGTGCTTATCATGTCTGCTGAATGATCAGAAACACAAAGAGTGTCACTGTATTTCACAGCTCAAGACCACCATCCTAGCTCCAAACCCCTACTGTTAAAAAAAGAAATCCAATCTAACCTGCTGCAGGTCTAACCAAGACCCAAGTGGCTAGATTTTCTTAATTGTTAATTAGCATGTATTCTCCTCACATACATTATTGGATGCACTGGAAGAAGTGCATCCAGTGCCTGTAATGTAAGAAGCCAGCCAAGCATCTGGGCGAGCTCCCCAGAGACTTAAAGAAACAGATTGGCCAATCTGCTTGTGTTGGTGACTCCAGCCTCAGAGCAGAGGAACAGGATGGCCTCTCGGGGTCCCTCAGTCCCTCACTGTTTCCATGAAAAGCATACCCAGAGAGGAAAGCAACACCCCCTGCAGAGCCAGCATTACCTTCTCCCACCCTCGGGGATGGGGACGGGGATGCTGAGGCTGCGGAATGCCGAGGAGTGGACTGCACCGATCCGGGCCCCGCCATGTGAAAGACCTCATCGGCAGCAGGCTGTGTGCTCTGCCCCTGGGATCCCGGCCCGCCAACCCCAAACAGATCGCTCAGCAAGTCCGAGTTAGAGGGGGCAGCCGCCGGCTGCGAGGGAAAGGTTTTGCTCATGGGGCTGCCATCCAGCCCCAGCAGGTCCACGTCCTCAGGCGGAGGCGGTGCCGGCAGCTCTTGCTGCTTTTTGCCGTGTTTTGGCGTCCCGTGGGGTTTGTCACCGCTGGCATTGCTGTGTTGACTGGAAAGGGACAAGAGTTCATCATCTGACTGTTCGCTTTCCTCATGCACCAATGCTGCTCGGTCCTCTGAGGTGGGGTGAGAGCTACTTTTGTCAGATTTCTGATCTAAAATAAAATTAGGTAGCCATTAGTTTCATTGCAAGGCTTCCATAGAAGTCAGTTTAAATGCAGAACAAGAAGCTATCAAGAACAAAACCTTTCAGAACGCTACCGTGGTAAAGATTTAAATTGAAGTCTTTTCTGGGCTGCGTGCTAAGCAGTCTGCGTTATTGATCAGGAACACAGGGGGAGGCTAATTGGCTCTCTGCAAGCCCAAAGAGCAGTGAGTGCCACCCACACAGAGCAGAACTGCACAGGTTTCTGTGTCAGGACCAAGCACTCAGCCTATCTCCAGCCATGCCCCATGGCCTGGGCTCATTACAAATAGTATGACACAAATCACCTTCCTGGCATTGCCCACCGGAACCTCCTGTGCCCAGTTCCTGCCTGCACATCCCCAGTGTGATGTCCCCATGCTATGGACAGGCACCCAGCTCACTCTCAGTGCTGCGTTCTCCCAAGTACAACATCAGCAAAAAGCAGCTTTATGCTGTTTCAATGCCAAGGATGCCTAGGGTGAAGGTTTATAGTGGAGCTATGTCAATAATCGGTCACGTACAGCGCGAGAAGGCAATTTCTGAAGAGAATGTTGTAGGAAATTAATTTCCACTTGATTGCAACATAAGGGTGTGACCAGCAACACAGTGATCTAATGCACAAGGCATGCTACAATCAGATCCCTCAGCAAGCCTCCATGCTCCAGGGAGGGGGAAGAGAGAAACAAGTTATCTCATTCTAAGCAATCTGACTTAAAGGCTACGCTGCGTACCTTGCCAGCTGAGAGATGAGAAGAATGCACTCTGTCCAACATTCCTGATGTTATCCTGGGGTGAATCAGTGGGACCCTTACCTGCAGCACAGAGCACCAAAATAAACAAACAAATAAATAAAGTAAAAAGGAGCCCCACACACATGTAAGTGTGCAAATCAAGTGAGTAAACCTGTGCAGCTCCCACCTGCCAAAGCAAGAGTGTCCTGATGCTCCTGATGAGAGGAGAAGAGAATGGTTGGATTGATGTCTTTTGTTGTGAAGTTCTCCCATGGAGGAGTTAACTCTGTTTGTCTATCAGTAGATTGTATTTCTATCTCCAGTATAACATGGAAAAGCTGGGGATATTTGTCTGGAGAATCGCAGGCATCCAGTTCAGGTCTAAATGGGGAGAAGCTGATCAATTCAAAAGGAACAGATGTTTCTACAAATCTATATCACCTTTCAATATATATGCACGCACACAGACTTTCATCTGTGAATATTCTCCTTTAGCCTTTTTAAGGCTTTTACGCTCCAGGTTTGATTAATGTTCAGCTTAAAATACTCACTTGGTGAATTTTAATGTGGTTGTCCCCAGGGCTATAAATCCAGTATGAAATTGAATTTGGAATATTTGTGTGTTGGTCATCTGAAAAACAGAGCACCTTAATGAACAAGTGCTTAAACTCATGAAATTCAAATACGCAGATGGTTAAGTCTACCCTACTACCAGTTACTATATAGATTAATAACTGCTGTATAAGCTAATTCATTCTGTTTGTTCTATAAAAAGTAGAACTTTCCCTTCTCAAACTCCAGTATTTCCATCTGCCTTTAATTTTGCTGCTGCCCCAACAGAGGAGTGCCTTCACAGCATTTGGGAACATGCCCTCATTGCCAGGACCTACTTGGCCTATTCTTGCACTTAAATGAAACTGATATCTATTTCCACTGAATACAGTGGAGCAACAGGTTTGTAGCCCAGGAACATACAAGACCATTTCATTCACAGTAGGAACTTCGGTAAAGCACCACCTATACAGCAAACAGCACCAGTAATGAGCTAAGAAGAGAAATATTCATCAGTTGCTCTGCAATTTTTGCCTGTCATCCATAACATTCAAAAAGGTGAAGGCTGTTCTAGAATAAGCATCTCTGACACCATCCAGGAGGGATGGCTCAGTCAGTCATACTTACTGAAGCTAAAGAAAAAATATTCTCCCATTTTCTTAGAAGGCATAGAAAGAGGTTTTAGTGATGTTTTGCCTGAATCAGTTACTGATAGGTTGGTTTCCATCTTCTGCATCACCTGGAAGGATTCTACACCCTATCAATATACACTGTAAAGAGACACAGGGGGCATCAAGGACTTCCTCAAATGCTCTTTGTTTTCACTTGGCACCGCTCAAATTTATGCTAAGTCTATACTCAGGTAAGGAAGCCTTCTATATCATGAGTGCCATCTGCATTCTTAGACCCAACATTTGGGCCCCTCTTAGTTAGCTATATTGCCTCTCTCATGCAAGAGAAGTTAAACAAACTCCTACTTTTGCTTGAAGGCGTCCCCCAATGGTTGACCTCATATGGTAGACGGAAACAACAACATCTCCATGGACAGTGGCTCCCAGTGGAATTAGGACTTTCCCTTCTTGCACACGGTATTCTCTTCGAGGAGACAAGAAGGAAATCCACAGTTAAGCTCCCTTCTACAACGCCATTATCACCCAACCCCAACATCAACATCAAAATTACCATCTCGCTCAGGTTGAGCCAACAGAATCATTCTGCTCAGTGTGAGGTTGAGTTGAAACAGAAACACTTCACAGGAGAAACTAGCGTAGCACCGAACCATCTCAGTGAAGGTACCCAACTGAGATACCTTCAAACTGACCTTGGCAGTTTAATTCAATACCAGGCACCAACCTTCAGTTAATATCCACACCCCATGATTTATCAGACAGTCTGGCAATGACCACAGCACAGATACTAGACACCTTACAGCAAAGCATCCTAAGGATGGTAGGAGAGCACAGCAACTCACTTCATTCTCTCATACTCTTGGGATGTGGTCAGGATTCTGGTTTCTCCACTGAGGATGTCACAGAAGGGCCGGCACCCATTTCTTTGCTTGTTGAAACATGGGACTGGGCTGAGGGTGACTGACTTGATAGTAAGTGGCTTGCAGTGAGGAATGACGGGCTTGTCTGCTATTAGATCGCAAATGTATCCTATGTATCTGCAGATAGAGAAAGCCATCACTGAAACCTTCATCCCAGGTGATCAGTTTTCATTCTATTTTATGTGCACATGCCATATGAAGTACTTAGTCATGGATCATTATTTCTCCACACATAACACTACATCTTCTGTTTGCTCTGACAGGCAGTGTTGCCTCTGCTTCATGAAAACTATAAACAAGGTATTTTTACAGTGTAAACACTTTAAGGATGAAGCTGGTATTGGGAGGGGGATTCACCAAAGCCCTATTAACTACAGACTTGTCAGCTTTCCTGAACCAGAGCACAGAGCTATTGTAAGATTTGTTTTTATTCCTCCATTAGTATTACAACGTGGGTGAAATGGAAGTGGCCATAAACATCAGTTACGACCTGCCAAAGCTAAGTATCATGGCTAATGCATGAGCACTGCTGATGCTGCAATAGGAATCCTGCATTTTAACTCTGTTGCCTCCCGCTGACACCTTCGGGACGGGGTGGACAGGATGGGGCATGCAGCATATGCATCCTCTAGCTCACTTGCATTATTCTGCAAAATAATACAGTAACTCAGCTTGGAGGAGACTTCTGAAGGTCATCTTGTCCAGCTCTCTGCTCAGCACAGGACCAACTTCAGCATTGCATCCAGCCTCAGAGCTGGATTATGCTGCTCACGGTGATCCCCAGCCAAGGATCTCAGAAGTCAAAGATCCCACAACTGTTCTGGACAACCTGCTACAGTGCCTGATTGCTACCTTATCCCCTATTTCTGGAGAATAAAGTGAAAATGGAATGCATGTCTCAGTCTAGGAACTGGGAACGCATTGCCAAAACACACATGTAGCATTTAGCCAATGTACTCTACCTCCTGTGAGATGGCCACAGTACAATTCCAGGTCTCTTTGTGTTCAGCAGCTGCATAGCAGGGCCTGGGTTAGAGAAGAGGTGACAGAAACAGAACATCGCGCTGACCAGAACTGCTGAGGCTGCACGGCCATCCTGGTAGGGAGAGCAGGGTGGGGGAAGAAATGTATAAGTATCAAGAGACAGCCTTCTAATTCCACCCAAACACTCTCCACTCTCCCTTAAGTCACACAAAATAAATTCTCTATAAAGTCTGGTAATGAGACCACACCACAGTGAATTTCCAGCCTGAGGCTTCAGTGAGCTGCAGTGGCCTGGATCAAAGATGACATTCACAAGCAGCCAAAGCTGAGGATGGCTCAGACTTGCTTCCATGCCCAGTATAGAATCATAGAATCATAGAATTGCTCAGGTTGGAAAAGACCTTAATGATCATCAAGTCCAACCACAACCTAACCACACTACCCTAACAACCCTCTGCTAAATCATGTCCCTGAACACCAAATCCAAGTGGTTTTTAAACACATCCAGGGATGTATGTTTTGCCTCTAGCTGTCCCACGGGATTTGCCATGGAGAGGTGACCCAGGCCCAGCATCTACCTGAGGTTAACAGGCTGCTTGCCTTCGCAAGTTTAGCCATCTGCCTCTGAAAGGACCTCTTGGGTTCATATAGACTGAGTGAGTTTCTACAGACTCATCAGAAAATGTTCAAAAGAACTCACTGCCCTTCATGGTGTTATCCTGACATTCATTACCCAAAGGACAGTAAAGGCGTTTTACTCTAGAGCTAAATTTCCAAGACTGGAGCCATCGAGTGCATCTCAGTCTCTGTCTGAACCCAACTCGTGTCCTGCAGCCACAGGCTGCACTGCGTGAGGCAGGAACTGCCAGACCCGGACATAAGGTTTGCACAGTTTGGGAGCACTCAGTTCCTTCTAAGTTTACCCTGATGAGGGCTGACAGCCTCCTGGATTTAATTTAGGCTCTAGGAACAGAACAGAACTGTCCTCTTGAGCATTACAGTCAACATCAAAGGTTGTTCAGGGATAAACTACAAGCTAGTCACACAGAATGACGCCACCATCACACATCAGGCCTGTGTTCCCATCTTGAACCATCTTTACTGGGGAGTCAGCAGTCCATGGGCTATGGTGAACAGTGCAAGGCAGAAAGCAACTGGACATCTTCAGCCATGTCTGACAAGCAGTCACTGCAGGAGACTCTAACGACCTCAGGTTTAGAGTTAAACAGAACTCCCCTCTATGCATTTGCTTCCCTTTCTATAGGAGTTGGTTTTATCACACTTTTTTTAGAAATTGATGCCATTCTTGCCCACAGACACAACATTTGCAACATGCTTATGACTCACAGGTCTGAAAATGTGGTTCCTTTCTGCTGTACTTACCATACAGTGGATGACACACACGTTTTTGGGGTTCTGCTGTAGCCAGTTGTGCATGTTCTTGCAGACAGCAAAGAGATTGTGCAGACTGGGCGCCTGTCGTACCGGCCAGCTACATTCAGATACCTACAGGAATTGCACCATGAGCACAGCCAGCTTCATGAGAGTATTAAGCAGTGCATGCTTTTTCAAATGCTTCCTGCCAATAAACACACTTAATTCAGCAACCTAGAGTTATGGACTTGAAACCTACTCCATCACTTCTCGTGCGTAATTCTGATCCCTGACTTTCATGAACTACAAAGGGACAAACAAAAAGGAATTCTCAGTTAAAAAGCCTGGTACTGATGGATTGCCATTGGCAATACTTTGTTAACAATTACATTCCAAGCCAGATTATCTTGAGTGGCCTTCCATGGCACTGAGCTGCACACTGAGCCCAGTAAAAAGCCTTAAAACAAGTCATTCCCAGAAACTACAGCCCCGATCTGTGAAGGATACTGAGCATCTGTTGCTCTCAGCACAATAGAATTTTGTTTGAATTTGTTGTAAGAAATTAGATTGATCAAAAGGAAACTTCTGTCTTATACAAACAAACAAATAAATAAATAAATATGGTATCTGTGTAAGCACAGTTAATGATATGAGCAGAAAAATGAATGACTTCTTAGAGCTGAAAACCCACAAACTCTGAAGCATGTCTGGTTACTATTCATCAATGTACCAGCTCTGAGTCATGACACATCTCAAGAACAGTCTCTGCAGTCTCAAACAGAACATCATATAGCCTTCTGCAGACATCCCTGCTTCATCTGGTTTTAATTGAAATGTCTTTATTGAACATCATTTCTGGCTAGAAGAAATTTAAAGGAGAAAAACGCATTTAAGACAAAGGATTGCTTTTCTCTCTCAGCTGACATTTGGATTCTGCTAGAAGAGAACCAGGGGCAGAAAGCAGATTGTCTGCAAGAATTACGAGGTGATCACAAACATTATTCCATTCTTCAACAGACCCAAAATACCAAAACCATAATGGAGATATAGGTGCCCAACAATTAGTGACCAAATTCTCCTCCTGACCTCAAGAACTTCTGCACCACTTCTGGCAGCACGAGGTCCGCTTGCAGTCAGAGCACCAAAACACCAAATACGCACTGCAAGTGGCTGCTGGAATTAATATGACCGGTGACCTTTCACTGACAGTTTTCTGAATAGGCTTCATGACAACACTGTCAGGCATCTGGAAAAGCCATTATCGCTTATCAAGTAAATAATATGCATTTCCAAACAGTCTACAATTATTTATTTCCTTTGTCTATAATTACACCTCTATCTGCTGGTTGGCAATTAGGAAATTAAAGGCACGTTATGCAGCATTTCATTTATTTCAAATACAACCTCAGCAATTCTTGTGAAAGGCAACCATGCAGGAAGTAAAAGGAGCTCAACTGGAGCTCTGGAAATATGCAGCTAGTGCTTGTTTTATTCCAGCAGTGGGGCTGGAACAGCCAGGAACGTGACCCTGCAGGGACTCCGAAGCGTGGCTTTGTTTAATGCTAGATTTGAGTTACATGTTCTCAAACTGCTCACGTTTTCTCCAGCAGATGTGAGCTTTCCTGCTGGGCAGTGAGCAGAGCAGAGCACAACCAGATTAGAGCTCTGACTGCTTGCATTCCCTCTCCTCTGCACTGGGCTGGGCACTCAGCGCTTTGTGCCCTACCTCGGGGCAGACAATGGCCCCACAGGGCATTTACTGTCATCTCCCTCCTGTGCCATGGCACATCGTGACCTGCTTTGGTCTTAGAGCACAGGAGTTCTAAGGGAGATAGCAATTAAGAAGCCATTCACTTCAAAGAACAAGTGTCTCTCTCAAAACTTCAGCTCATCCAAAACAGAAGATACTCTCCACTGTGATTTCACTTTCTTGATAGCCTCTTAGTATCTTGTTCCCCACTAGAGATGAGGTTCAAATTCATATTTACAGTTGTTTTGTGTTTCATCTCATCTCACACATTTTGTTGTGCACATTTCATCTTCCTGAGAGATACTTGGAGTCTGTATTTCCTAGCACATCACCTGAAAGTAGAATGTTTTATTGAAAGATCCATCATTTCCTTTGTGTGTGTGAAAGCAATACAAAGCCCTGAGTCAGGCTTCAAAAGTGACATATGAAGTAGCTGGCAAGTCATAGGAAGGGTAGGAGATGAAGTACAGGGGATGGAGGAGTAATGACCAGGTCAACTAATATACCAATGGGTGTTTGTTTAATGCTGGGCTGTCAAAAGTAGATTTGTCTCCTCTCACTGACACTGATGCACCAAACCCAAGCAAGACTGAAGATCTACAGCCCTTTTTAATTAGCCTTTCTTGTTCATTTACTTCACGACTTTATATCTGAAGCCACGACTGCTTACTGATTGCTACTGAGAAATCTGCTTCAAGGAGTGGCTATCTGTGATCAGAGCAATTGCTGAGGATAGACTCAGCTACACCTCAAGCTAACACGAGGCATGGGACTCACCCCAACAGAGGGTTCAGTCCAGCAGCTGATGCTGCCTTTTCAGTTGGAGTTAATGAAAGACAGAAAAAAGAAATCATCACTCCCTTGTGGAAGAGGGAATAAACAGGAAGCTTTCTGAAGATGAGATCTAATCTTGCATTTCAGCAGCGTTATTTTGTAGAGATAGCCTCTAAAAGCCTGATGAACCAGAGCCCTGAACTGTTCCCATATGACACTCTGGTTTTAGAGAAGGAAAGTGGGACAGAGAGTGGAGGTGTATTTTTCAAATGTAATATGCTATAGAAAAAGCCAAAAATGCACCTTAGATGCAGTTCCCAGCCCCATGTTTTGCGTGCTAAGTCCTCCTGCTTGACTAAACACAACTGGAGGACTTTTCAACACGAAAACAGCCTTCTTTTATCGATCACTTATTTCACAGCACTTTTGTTAGAAACCCTGCAAGGCCATCTTCAAACTCCTATAAAACCCTCATCCCTCCTCAGATGATCTCATACGGTAACCCATGGCTATAATCTGCTCCAGGCACTGCCAGCACTTGGCTATTTGTTAGGAGTCTGAGCAGCGACCCACTGGGGCTCAGAGCACACTGAAGTCCTGCACCCCACATTGTACACTTGAGTCTGTGTATTAAATAAGGTGAGCTTCAGAAGGAGTAAGTGCATGAGAAACTAAAGGTTATTTCTTTGCTGCAGCTTCTGACAGCAATCATAAAATCGTTTTGTGTGAGAAGGTTCCTCTAAAATCCATCTGGTCCGAGATCCTCGCAATGAACAGGGACATCCACAACTCCATCAGGTGCTCAGAGCTCCATCTCTCCTGATCTTCGATGTCTGCAGGGATGGGGATCTACCAGTGTAGGAGCCAAGAGCACGCAGGTTCATCTCAGTGAAATGCCACTCTCACAGACTCCTAACACATCTCATTAATTCCTGAACTTTCCATCTCTTTAATCCCTGCAGCCCTGGGTATCAGCTAAAACCCAAAAATGACCACAGCAGCTTTAAAACACCTATAATTCCTTTTCCATCTTATTACATTCTGCCACATACAGGAGAGACAGGAGCAGGATCTTTTGCCACCTTTCAGTTTCCCCCCACTCCTGTTTATCCCTTGGAAGATACTCACCCTGTTGTGGAACTTGGCACTGCGATAGTACTTGGGTGACAAATTGAAGACTGTGTAGTGGTCAGGGTGTCTGGAATCCAGAAATGTCCGGACATCTTCAATGTGGTTCCTGAATCCCAGCTCAACACCTTCAGCCGGAAAAGACATCACTAGAAATGTAAGAACAAGCTAAACTGAGTGTGTACCATTTCATGCTTATGAACCTCTGAACCTTGAGACATTACAAGCTTTATATATCTGGTAAGCAGCACTTACCTATGATTCTCGAGGTAATGTATGAAATATCTAGCTCTCCCTTGGTGTAACTAAAAGGAGACAAAGGAGACAGATGTTACACACATATTTACAGAAGACAGTCCTTTACAGGAACCAGGAGAACAGTATTTTCCAACTTTCAATGCAAGGAAGAGAATTATCTTAGAACTGATGACTTGTACTTCATCTTTATGTTTTAAGCAGAAGCTATAGATAGCTTACGGTAGACGGTGACCCAACCTTCCTTTTAAGTCGACCCCCAGTAAAGTCCCTTTTCCCTCTTGTCATTAATTTTCAGTGCCAGTTTTTAGAAGAAATCTCTAGCAATTAAACACTTCATATATCAAAGTCTCTGAGGAGTTGCATCCATTACATGTCTTTAATTTACTGTAGCCCCACATTCCTCAGAGGACGATGGAGCACAAAGCACAGGGACCATTGCCAGCAGAGCTGACCAAAGCAAAGTCACCTCAGCCCTTTCTTCAACTCAAGAAGTGGCTTTAGCAAATGGAACAGTTACATCAGCATGAGGAGACTCATACAACACAAACCAACTTTCAGTGACAAACGACTGAAGCAGTGGCTGAGCAGAAGGAACCCACAGGTGTTAATGAAGGAATCAGAGACCAAATGCCCCACTGCCATTGGGAAGGCCTTTTCCAGATTTCTGGATGTTGACCCTCATTCATTATGAAGCTTAGATATTTACTTTGGTTTCCTGCTTCCTTGAGGCCAAATACCCAATTGTGAGACAGAATTACAGAAGTCATTTGTGATTTTCCCCTCCACCTTCGTTAGGTCAGCTGTTGTGCCAGCTAAAATGGCAGCTCAGACTAGCACCCTGCAGCCAGTGATATTACCTGCATTTGCCTGCCTCAACTGTACCATACCTGGCAACAGATTGCATGACTTTCGAAGACGTATCTTTCAGAGTATCCTTTAGGTTATCCTTCAGATTGCTGAAGAGCCTCCCTGCTCCTCCTTTCACCATATCCAGCAAGCCTCCTCCATAGCTGGACTCCATGTCCGGTGATGAGGCACCTTCAAATACAACAGAACCAAATCCAACATCACTTGTTTGAGACAAATTCACAGAGCCAACATTGCTCTACTCAGACCGAATGTATTTGTGTGCCCTGTCACATACTGAGCAGGGCAAAAGAAGTTTTGCTTTTTGAAGTCATGATTGTCCAGAGATTCGAATCACAGAATATCCCTAGCTGGAAGGAACCACCAGGGTTATTGAGTATAATTACAGAGGGCGCGTTCTTGCTGGCTAGGCACAGAATCCATCAGCAATTCAGCACTGTGCACAGGTAAATTGGTGCTGGTACAGGATGGACAAACACCAGTCGAGCTCCCTCACTTCACAACGCAACCCAAAGTTCTTCAGCACATAGCCAAGGCCAAACCAACAACCACTTCCCCAGGGACAAGAAAGAGACATTTGTATATCCCACAGCTCTTTCATGTAACTCAGCTTCCAGTTTCGCTGGGGCTGGATGACTGAATGTTGTCTTATAACCACATGCATAGAGGACACCCACGACTGTGCACAGAGCAGAAACCATCAGAGCAATCTCAAGTCACTTAAGAGACCAGTCTGATTTGTTTGAGTGGAACATGGCAGACAGAAAAGAAGAAAGTGTGGGAATTAAACTCTCTTGCTGACGAATAGAACCTTTTTGGATATTCCTATTGCAGCACTAACACAGGAATCAGCAAATTGATGGGGAGAAAGCAGAGCAGGGCTCATCTCCTTTTCTTTTCAAGTTTTTTCCTCACAGCTTGAAACATCATGAAGTTGCAAAGTCAATAGGAAACTTATATAGAACAAGAGCCATTTAAATCATGATTTTGATGGACTGTGACGTGGCACTCCTCCTCACAAGGCTGCATTTTGCAATTATACCAGAATTACTATTCCAATCTCTTAACCAAGACCCCATTCATTGCAGCTTCTCCTATTATATCACTGCTGTGTTAACAGCATATACGATTCTTAGAAAAGTAAAGAATAATAAGTTGAAGGTAGACTTGAGTAGACATGGTTTCTTTATTGTAGAACTGAGTTGTTGGAAACAATTGTATTTTTAACTGCTTATTATCTGTAAACAAAGCTGCTGGCTACCTAAATTACTAGTACTCAACTGTCTGATCTTAGCAAGCTTTGACTACATTACTTTAATTATACATTTGTTACCTCATTATTATGTCAGATCAGTCAGAAAGTTAACTGCTGCAACAAGCAACCTATGGAAATGTGTGCCACAGTCTCAAGTAGTTTTAATAAGCAAGACTGCATCTACTAAGAGCTGCCTTTCACAGAGCACCCGGGAAGTCTGAAAACATTTGTCCTGCTTCAGAGCCATGGGACAAAATGTAACAAGAACATCCTATCCATTATTAATGACTCCAGCACTCAGAAAAGTGAGAGATTTGTCAAGATTAGGGCAGGTTGGTGGCACTGACTGTGCTTACCATATGTTTTGCTGAGAGACCTTACAGCTCTAATTCCTTTGGTTCTGTAGAATGCCTACTATTGAAGTACTGCACTACAAGAAGAAATATTCTAGGGGCATTAAGACTATTAAGGAACATGAAAAATACTATCTCTAAGAAAGTCCCCATCAATTTACTGTGTAGAGTACCAAACCCATTTAAATGCCATTCATTCTTTCAAATATGGTGGGAGATATCAATAAATATGGAATATATTGGTAAACAGGAGACTCCATGGGTAAAGTGATGTTACTTATTCTGCTGTGTGCAAAGGGTGCTTAATGCACAGCGATGTGGCTGTGATCCACATGATGCACGTGCAAACTGGGAATGTTGAAGGCAATATCTTCTCCTCTTTATTGCACTCATAAAAAGATTGAGAGCACCATGCCCAATTCGGAGCAGAGGATGCCCTCTCACGACACAGGAACATTTCTTTTCCAAACCAGTTCTAAGTATCTACTTTGAGTGCAATTAAAGAATAAAAATAAAAACAAACAATTAGCTCATTGGCTTCCAAGTGGGGAATCAGTGTTTGATCTCTCTTCAAACACTGCTTTCACATTACTGTGTTAGGAGACTCAAGGGAGGAGGCAAGAAGTGATGTTCAGAAGGTGCTCTCAGTTCTGCAGGTCCACTTTTAAAAGAAAGAAAGCGAGAAAGATGGGAACTTGGAATGAGGAAAACAGGGGCAAAGAGATCTGAGGACCAGTGGGTGCTGGACACACTGTATTCTTGGAAACTCTCTAAGAGAGTAACAGAAAGCCTCTGAGAACATGGAAAACATAGAATCTTCAGGAAATGAGAATTGCAGCACAGCAGCACTCAGCACAGCACCCCATGCAGTGATTTGCTTGGGCATCTTTCAGTCACCGGGTCAGAGCAGCACCCTCAGTGCTGTCTTTTTGTTAGCAGCTGTGACACGGTCTTTGTTACACAGAGGAACAAAACAAATATGTCCAAGGTTCCTTCCAGTAGGCAGCATTTCCTGCAAAGCACAAAGATGTGCAAAGGAATGACGGGTCCCAGCAGCAGAGCAGAAAGCGTTAAAGCATTAGCACACAGATCTGACAGCATATGCAGAAACCCACAAGAACAGCCAAAAAATCTGATTAAAAAGGAGAAAGAAAGAAAAAAAAAAAACAACAGCGTGCTCCTGCAGATTTTGCTGAATAGAACATTTCTGTGCTAAGTCCCTCTTGAGAATGGGGACCTTCAGAGCTCCTGTAGACCCTTCTGAAGGACACCAGGAGTTTCACAGGCAGGAGTTGTGGGACAGGGGCACCTGGACAGGCAAAGCCCTGGATTTCAGTGCTGCAAATGAGGCAGCAGTCATCCTTGTCTGCCCCCAGCCCCAAGCCAGGCCACAGGGACACTTGTTGGGCCCAAAGGGAAGAGCTGGCCATCCCTTGTAGCCCATACAGACCTGGAGATCAGCACCATTTGGGCAGGACATGACTTAGTGGCAGCTTTTTCTGCCTTTCAGCTTGTTAGCACACAGCAGCTCAGTTAACTCCAGCAGTGTGCTAGTTGCTGTCTAGAAGCCTTGTTATGGAGAATTACTTTTGATGCATGAGATGCATCTTGCTCGTTATGCAGCAAGAATTCTCTATTAACCCAGTTACAGGACATTCCCCGGCAGGCTCCAGAGACACGCCTCTGACCTGTATTCATGGCACAGGTTTCACATGGATTACTTGCTAACTGCAGCCTTTTCATTTCCCAGTGAAGGAATGGTTCACACTGGGCTTTCACTGCAGCACAGCACACCCGAGCTGCAGTGCGTAGGTTGGCTCTTGTTGGCTGGTTGGGGATGGTAGGGATCATCTCTGCATGATGCACTTTGGGCCAATGGAGCATTATGGAAGCAAGACAACTTCCATAGAACCTCAGAACCACAGAATGAGTTGGGCTGGAAGGGTCCTCTTAATCCCAATCCCAGCCACGGGTAGGGACACCATCCACAATCCCAAAGCCCCATCCATGGCCTCCAGCACCTCCAGGGATGGGGCACCCACACTGCTCCAGGCAGCAGCGCCAAGGCTTTATCACCCTCATGGGGAAGAATTTCCTCCTAATATCTGAGCTGAATCTCCCCTTCTCCCCTTTTTAATTTTAAACCATTACCTCCTTGTCCATCTGGCTTCTCCCATGTGGCTGATAAGCTGGAGTTTGCCTTTGTTACAGCTGAAGCTCCTTGCTCTGAGCTAATGCCTGCCCCAGGAATGGATTGTTTGGAGTTCAGGATAAACCTCCAGCAGCCACCACCAAAACACCATCCTGCTGCACCTTCCTGCAGAGCTCAAGTGTATTGTACAGGAGTGTTCTGCCATAGTCCCCTCTCATCAGCAGCCACTGGGTGGAATTCCACACATCTGGACAGACTGCAGGTGAAGAAGCTGCTGCACAGCACCAGCCTCATGCAGTATGGATGGGAGTTGGAGAGCACCAATATTTTATTAAAGCCCTTCAGATCTCTCCTCATTCTCCAGCTAATTTCAGAGCATCAGGAAAAGGATGTGCAGCGCAGGAGAACTCCAAGCACAAACAGCCAAAACACCACAGCAGCTGATGCATCAGGAGAGACCGAATCCCACCAAGAGACCCTCTGCAATCTGCTTGCCTTCAGCACAACAAAACCAGCAACAGGAGCCTATTAGCCACGCTACAGAACTAACCTGCATGCAGACAGACAGCAGACGGATGGCACTGCTTTGCTCACTTGCCTGTTATGGAAGCTTTTCCTGCATATCAGAAATGTTTGGTGGGTTTCCAAGCACCAGACCCCCCCAGCAACCCACACTGCTAAGAGCCACAGGCTGTGGCTTCCAGCCCCGCTGGGAATCAAGCCGACATTTAAGAGGCATTTAAGACTCTGTCAGTCGGTGCTGATGAAGCAATACTGGGCTTGGGAGCGGGAGGTGAAAGCAAGATGTCTGCAAATGGAGGATCAGGCAGCTAAGTGCTATATGTCGTAGGTTACTTAGCAAGAGTAAACAAACCCTTTTTTCATGCCAAGGGCAGACAAAATGCAGACATGAAACCACAGGAAAGAAAGCAAGTTCACCTCAGCCTGTCCATGCTATGCAACACAATCTCCAAGGTCACACTCCTTTTGCTCAGGGAGCTACTGTCTGTGCTTCCTTTAAAACCACAGAACCATTCAGGTTGGAAAAGCTCTCCAGGATCCACAAGCCTGTCCCAGCCCAGCCCCCCATGCCCATTGCCCATGTCCCTCAGTGCCACATCCCCACAGCCCTAGGACAGTGAGTCCCCAGCCCTGGGCAGCCTGTGCTGGTGCTGACCACACTTTGAGAGAAGATATGTCTCCCAGCATCCAACCTGACCCTCCCTTGGCACAATCCAAACCAGGGACCAAGGTACTTCATACCATTCCATAATTCTATTATTTCATCTCTCCTTTAAGCCAAAGCAATGGGGGTAGCTTTGGGAACATCAGATGCTCTTCTGTGTTCTGCTTCCACAGTGCCAAAGGAGCCTGACCCTACACTGAGATGAGGCTTGTAGCTGCCTCATAC